TTTTCAGACGACACTGCTATATATTTTATCAATCAGACACATGGGTAAAGTTGAAACGTTGATTTAAATTTTAATATTATATTTTAAAACCAAACAAGGTTTAATTTTAGTTGTTTTCTTTTACAACTAGTGAAATAATGAACGTTTTTTAGGTAGCGCAAAATACAATTTGGTCTGAGCACAGCATATAAAGACATTAATTCCACTATTGGAAAATGGCTGCATCCTATATTTGGGCTGTCCTCCTTATTTACAGATGAAGTAGAGACATCATTTGTTAAAGATTTCATGGCCGAGAAGCCAGATGATGAAAGAATTACTCATTTTTTTTTACTATTTAGTGAATACAATATATAGATACTAACTCTAGATACTAACTCTATTGACCCCCTCCACATTCAAATATTATTATTTTTTTTTAAATTGTCGTTATTTAATAAGCAGACCGACACCTACATAAAAATTAACTCTGTGTTAAAACAAGAGAAGAGGCTACAGAGAAACAACGTTTTAAATAAACAAAAAATATATTTAATCTAAAATTTTTAATTCAATAATAATCAAATAAATAGGTATGACTTTGTCAAGTCTGTCTCTTATAAATATGGTAGTATTGTTTCACTCTAATTTATTATTTACATATTTCATTATTAAATAAAATTGAATTTCAAATTGTATCTGGTCGTTTTATTCTTTTCCATACGTTACCAATATTTCGCAGACTAGTTTCCGCAGTTCGGTTGTTTTAGAATGTACAGACCAGGTCAAACTATTTTGTTTCCGCAGTTCGGGTGTCGGATTATAGGACCAGATTATCTTTTCCGCAGTTCAGGTGCACCGATCTGGGACGTTGTGAATTTTTTATCACGTGATAGAGAATTAAATCGAATGTAGATGTAATAAACAAACGCTCTAGACTTTATTGGTCACGTGATAAAATGTCAATGACAAGTTAGAAGTTTATACTTTTTAAATTTGACTTTTGAGACTACAAATCAACCTAAATTTGAAATCTAAACAAAAATTAAACAAACTAATCACTTATATTCATGCTAGCATAAACAAAGAATAAATTGATAAACTTAGCTTCACAGAACACTTACTTTCTGGCATGGAACGAACATCTCATTCACATCTCATTTCAAATCGAGATGTAAAAAATGTAATCTGAACAGATACATCTCGGATAAACAAACGCAGATGTAAATGTAGTAAATGTGTCCGATGTGGATAAACAAACGCTAGAGATGTAAAAAATGCATCGGATGTGGATTTTCAAACGCGGCATATATAACTCAAAAATAGTAAATACGCAACTCTACACCACTGCATTCTACGGAAATAAATCAATAAGAATGTTATTTTACCTTTTAGATAAGTTAAAGGATAACGGAGATACGAGGGGGTCCCAAAATGCCCTGTACCTTAAAAACTAAAAGGGCTATGAAAATTTTGTTAATGACATCTTCAGTTTTACGAAAAAGTAGCAGTGTCGCGAAAACCCCAACCCTCTATTTTTAAAAATAACGGAGATCCCCCATCAAATGTACCCAAAATGGGATACCCTGTTTATACAATCTATTATATCACCCATGTAAACGTTTAGAGGTTAAACTAAATACATACATATTCTACACACATCTTACAAAAAACATTTTTTTATATATATTCATTGCCAACGAAAATACTGAAAAATTCAAGTTTTACACTTTTCCTCAAATTTTTCCATTACGGTCAATTTGAATTTGAATTTTGCACCTTTTATCTAATTTCTCGGATACGGACCATTTTAGGAAAATTATGTTTGGGACAAAAATTATAAAGAATAATATTAAAAGCTACTTTTTTTCTTTCCGAACGTAAATAACAGATATATTCCATAAAGTAAGAAAACGACCTCCTATAAATTACCCCCCAGATGTTTCGACTATGCCCAAAATCTAATCAGCTCACCGGAGGATGAATTAATGCTTACATTTAAAATTTGGTGGCTTTCTCTGTATCCATTCGTGAGTTATTGATTATATAGACACACAGATACCATCGCCAAAATAGTCAAAACGGATTCAGGGGACCCCAAAACGTAATAATCCATCGAAAACTAGAGGTTGAAAAAAAATCATGATTCTTACACACTCTCCTTATCTGTATACAGACAAAAAAGTAAAAATTATAAACCATTAAAATACTAATTCGCACTGCATCACACTTAAGGTTTTTACGAAGTGTCAACCATTTGTGTTCTTTGATTCTACTGTTTTTTGAACATTATAATATCATAACCTTTAAAATTTTTGAAAAGTTCTAACGTAATTAAATCGTAATTAAATATTGTTAGACAAAACCTCGTAAAAACCTAAATAAGTACGATATATCACTGAATTAGTAATTTAATGGTTTGTAATATATAATATTTAAAAAATCCTAACTCGAAAACCAAAAAATTATATCAACCTGAAACGTTTAGCAAAAATCAAGCTCTATAAGAGGAAGAAGCCCTTTGATTTTGAAAAAAATCTGATTAAAAATGTGGGGGGTTGAGAGGGGTTGAAATTAAAAAAAAAAAAATCATAAATAAAAAAACGAGAAGCGATGTCAACATGAAATTTTTAGTAAGCATTAAGCTCTATAAGAGGATAAAGCATATTGATTCTTAAACAAATCTAAATTAAAATGGTAATGAAAAATGATATTGACTTCAAATTTTTAGCAAAAAACATGTAGGTACTATAAAAAGAAAAAGCCATCTGATTAAAAAGCGATATCAACATGAAATATTAATTAAAAATCAAGCTCTACAATGGAATGAAACCTATAGATTTTGAAAAAAAAAAACAAAGTAAAATGGGACATAAATATTGAAAAAATCCTAACTCAGAAACAAAAAACGATATCAAATTGAAATCTTGAGGAAAAATCAAGCATTATAAGGGGATCTATTGATTCTAAAAAAAATCTGAATAAAAATAAAGAATTAAGAGGGGTTGAAATTAAAAAAAAATCATAACTCAAAAACAAAAAATAATACCAACTTAAAATATTTAGCAAAAACCAAGCTGTATGAGGGGACAAAAACTATTGATTTAAAAAAAATTGTGAAGAAAATGGGGGTTAAGGGGGACTGAAATAAAAAAAATAGAAATCAAACACCAAAAACGATATCAACATGAAATTTTTAGTAAAATTCTGAAAAAATCTGAATCAAAATTGGGGGATAGGGGGGTTGAAATATTGAAAAAAAAATCCTAACTTAGAAATAAAAAAACGATATCAAATTGAAATCTTCAAGAAAAGGGGATGAAGTGTATTCATTCTGAAAAAAATTTGATTGAAGATGTGGGTTAAGGAGGGGGTCTGTTAAACTGTGAAGAGTATAATATAGAATGCCAAGTATTATATATCTTCATTCTAGTTTTTTTTTACTACATTTAAAGTTTGAAATTTAGTTTTAAGACACATTTTTGTTAATTAAACCGATTCTGATTAATTAACCACTTGCGAGGCAATATGGCTGCACACAGTGAGCAATCTACATTACCATATAAATAATTCTTTGGGAGACTCAGCCAGTCCGTGACAGTATTTTTTCATTGGTTTCATATGCTTAAACACATTGACATCTGCAGGTTGGGGAATATGCAAATTATTAGGTAGTGAAGCATATAATATATTATTCTGATTGCAGAACTTTCTTAATGGTAGGTACAGTCATTTGGTACTGTCTTTAAATAATATGGGATGCTCTATATAGCAGTCTCTGTGAGTCAGGAGTTGAATGCATTTTATATATATTCAATAAAAGGCCCTTTATTCAGCCCGACTCAGTTTTTTCAACAACCCAGGTATCAGGAACATTTTCAATTAGTGCTCGAAGTAGTCTTACATAGAGAAAATTTACCAAGAAAGGGCAAGCTTTTCAGGCAGGCAGATTTAGGGCAATGAGTAAATCTGGATTCACCCCCATTAAATACCCACTCTTGAGGTGTTTTCCAAAACAGTCTCGAAATTGTTCTCTTCTGTTATCACTGCTCGAGCTTTGTTAATGCCTTCTGTTTGTCTTAGTGCAATTCCAGGACAATACTTTAGAAAATTCTTAGACCACCTATTCAGGAGCTCCTTTTTTTACTGCCAGGTTTTGTCATGAATTGCTGCCGTAATAATCCAAACTGCCTGCTGGATTTTTTTAATACTAATTCCTGAGTGGTTGATTCTCTGTAAAGCTGATTCAACTAAATCGCCGAAATACGTATGAAATTTTTGGTATCTAAAATCGAATGTCAAACATTCGTAAACAAGCAATTTAATTTAAAAATAAGTGTTTTTTTAAAAAGTGGATACAATTTCTCAATAAACCTTTGATGCAGTTAAACTCTAAACTCTATAATTAAATTACATTTTAATCTCCATTAGTCCGGAAACTACCTATTTTTCGGACAGCTTATATTATTATTATATTCCTCATATAGTCAGAAAAAGGTGTGTGAAAACTAGTCAGTATATTCTTTATTTAAATATGAGTAATGGAACCAAATATAAGAGATATATACCTTATTTACTAGAAAAAGATCAACAAATTTTTACTGTGTCTTACCAATTCTTCGACACAGTGTCTGAGAAGGAGTTTTAAGAATTTTATGGAAACAGTTACCAGGGGCACTTAATTTCAAGGGTTAAAAATTTGAATAAGTACTATGCTTTAAAATTTCAGTTTATTGGCCTAGTACCAATAGAATACTAAAATACCTATAATAAAATAATATTAGAACATCTACTTCCTATTTTTCAGAAGCTAGTCCACTGCAATTTTTAATTATTTACTGGCTTCTTCTAAGATAATATGATACTAAAAATGTGTGAGTGGAAGGAGGATAATATAAACAAAGCATAAATTAATCATATAAGCGCAAAAGTGATGGGAGTTTCTTATTTTAACGGATTGTCCAAAATCCGGAACTGTTCAGCTAACCGGTTCGATCACCCTATTCTTGATTTAAACTTACTTTTGTGAATAAATATTCTACATCTGGTGCTTCCAGTAGAAACTTTTTGATTTGTTCTGGTGTTAGAATTTTAGATTTCTTTGATTTGTAGCCATTTGATTGTAATTTCAGAAAGTTGCGCAATTTAGGATAGGTAGAAATATCAATGTTATTTTTAATATTAATCATTGTTTTCAACATTGAATATGTTGTCCAGAGAGTTGAGGGTTTGATTTCGCTCGACATTTTTTTCATGTAGGCTGTTACAATATTTTCTGATATATTTGTTATTCCATTTACCAGTGTCCACTCCATAAACTTTTTGTAACAAAATTCATATTTACTTTTTGTTTTCTGGCGTAATAATGTGCTGTATGTCTCCTTTACGTCTAAATTTATATCTGATGGAGTATCATTTAAATCATCGCTGGAATCACAATCACTCACATCACTCATTTTTAATAATAATTGTTCGTTTATAACTATAAAAATATTCTTATAAAACGGTGAACTGAACTATCTTGCACTAGTGGATTTCATAACCTTACTAGAGTGGCTATGCGGCTATGCTATGAAATTTTATCGAATCAGTCGAGTCGACTCTCTGATATCGCCCACATACAGTTTCTGTTTCTACGTAGTTTCTACCCACATGTACAATATTATCTATTTTCTGCACGAACAATTACAGAATGAATATGTAGGTCATATCAGTATACTGAACGGATACCATTACGTTTTCATTTCCATTCTAATCACGTATCACGTATCTATTTTTCTGTGACGTATCTCGTTCATCGTTCATGCGCTAAGCGGTCTCGGTCCTTGACCCGGTTGCCTGGTCAACAAATGACAGTCAGTAGATATATTTTTTTTTAGTTAATAAGGTAAAAATAAATTATAAAAATGAGTAATTAATTATGATTATATTTTACTGAAAAACCGATAAATAGTGGATACCTATTTCAATGCATAATATTATGTAGAATTTGATTACCATTTTTTACAGGGTGTCCTATAAATATACCGACAAATTAAGGGACATGATAGGGGACATCAAAATAAATATTTTTTGTTTAATAAAAATAAAACTCTTCGGTTCTGAGATGAAGGGTGTAAAAGTAAAAAAAAAAACGATTTTTATTCAGTATCTTTTGAAAACGTTCTTTGGTTTTCACCGATTTCAACGAAATTTTTACAGTTATTGAGATAATTTCCATAGGCGTGCGTACTGAAAACAAAAAGAAAAAACTTTTGTAAACTTAATTTTTTTTCGTATCTTTCTCCGTTTTCATTTTGAGTTGTATTTTTTTATAAAAAAGCAGGAATATAAGTTGGAAAGGTTTTTGGTAGGTAGAGAGGTGGTAAACGTAAAAACCCCGTCGGACGACTTCGAGAATTACGCGGTGATGTTTCTTCGAAAGTGTCGTATCGTAGAATAAAAATAACACCAAACATTTAAATTATTACCGGCGAAATCGGGAAAATATCTATTTGTGAGTTAGAAAAAATTATTTTAACAAGTAATATAACAAATCATATTTCTATAAAATTTCTACAGCCATTCACAGTTTATTAAACTTTATGCGAAAAAATTGTTATTAGCATTTATAAAATACTTTATATGCCAATGTTTCGCGTTCACAGAAGTTTGCTCCGCTACAAGACTGTCAAATCCAGTATGCAGGGGGTGTACCAATAAAAACTCCCAGGCCGGATATTTTGGTAAGTAATATAGAGATATTTAAATTCTGTAAAAGCCAGTTCATAGAGCGCTAGAAGAGCTTCAGTTTTAGATATAAATAAATTTTAAATAGGTCAATATGTAGATGGCGCTGCGCTCAATATTTTTTGTTCGATGGGAAGATCTTTCTTATACAGCGCATCTTATGAAAAATACATTTTCCTACGACCACTTAGGAAAGTGACACATATCACACTATATAGACCTATGGAAAGTGCCCTATATCACACGCGTATGAATAAGAATTTACTTTCCACCCAAGTGAGAATATGCTACTTTCCGCAGTAGCTGTCAGAAAATGTCAAACACATAATTTCTATTTTGATCTATGTAATTTCCATATTAATACTAAAATCGATATGATTGTTAAATTATTGTAAATTAGATCCTAGATATTTATCTTTAACAATTATTTTTAAAATAATTTTAAAATAACCAAGATATATTTGCTTTTTATTCTGGTTAAACACATAAGCGATTAGATCAATCAATTACCGTAAGGCCTGTTAGCTCAGTTGGTTAGAGCATCAACTTTGCAATTTGAGACCGTCCAACGACCGCGATCGAATCCTGGCTGTGCCAGAATTTTTTTTTCATTTTTTTTTTATTTTTTTTTATTTGTTTAGAAATTATGAAAATTTAATAAATGCGATTATTGTTGATTATTTTTTTAAATACATTTTAATTATTATAATAATCTGGTTTTACATTTTTTGATGAAATTATTTTGTGGTCGTAGGAAAAATATTGTACATCACTTGTGTGAAAAGTGATTTTCCACACTCGTGTGATAGTCGCACTCGGCTTACGCCTCGTGCGACAATATTTCCCACTCGTGTGAAAAATGTCACTTTCCACACTCGTAATGTAATATACTATTTTAAGCATATTTTGTTTTATAAACTTATTTGATAAATCTAGTCATTTTTGATATACAGAGTGAGTCACTCAAAACAGTTTCATCCTGTTTTTCAGCATTATTCATTGAATTTTTAGAAAATGCTAAAACAGGTCGATTTTTATTTCAAATTGGACACATTTTAACAACACAGACATCTGTCATATGTCAACCCCCTCCCTTTCACTTTTCCAACACCTTAATTTTAAACAGGTATGTACCATGTACAGCACTTCATTGAAAGGGTAATTTTATAGGGAAGTCAAAAATATGATTTTTTATTGCGATATTTTTAATTTTAGCGCCCTCTATCGGAATAAAAAACCTGTAAAGTATTATAAAGTGTGACACTTTATTTGAAAGCTAATTTAATTACTAATTCAATGCACCGCATAACATTAATATAAATATTTCCATATTGCACTTGCAACAAAATAAAGTTAGCAATAATGTTTAAAATAATGCATGACTAATTTTCAAACTATTGCCAGTGCAATATAGAGGATATTTAATTAATGTTATGTGGTGCATTGAATTAGTAATTAAATTTGCTTTCAAATAAGGTATCACACTTTATAATACGTACAGTTAGATATCCCAATAGAGGGCAGTAAAATTACCTTTTTAATGATGTACTACACATTGTAATGTCACACTATATAATACGTAGTAATTTTTTATTACGCTAGAGGGCGATAAAATGTAAGTAACGCAATATACAGAAATATTTCTGAATCCCCCATTAAATTACCTTTTCAATGATGTGCTATACATGGGGAGAACTAGTAGAAGCCATTCCAACTCTTGTCTCTACGTGGGTTGTCTCTGCTGCTATAGTTGCTTCATGCAGAGACGTGCAAAAATTAGGATATTTTTTTTCTCGAAAACGAAGTGAGGTACGCAAAAATATCAGGTAAAAAAAGTTGCATTTTTAGTTGATTTATTTAAAACAATTGTAAAAATTGCAAATATCTACTAGGCGTTTTATTATTTTTGTATAAAAATCGCTCTATTTCGAAAATTAAGCGTTTTCGGACATATGTTTATTAAACAAAATATATTTATTTTGATGTCTCCTACCACCCCTTAAAGTTTGTCGGTACATTTATGGGATACTCTGTATATTATCTATATCCAACCAATGAAGTGGAGGAGTAGAATGATAACTGTCAATGCAAAAGTGTACATTTTGTAAACAAGATTCAGGGACGGTTTAACAACATTTTGTGCAACAATTATAATATATTTATAGTGCATCGGAAAATAATTAACTGGTATAATTTAATACTAAATCGAAATCAAAGCACAAAAAATCACAAATACAAGCAAGATAACAAAGAATTGACGCCAAAAAAACTTACAACAGCCACAACACAACCAAAAAACAGAGCTGAACAAAGCCAAGCCTGGAATTTGTTTACGGCACATACTTTGATTTTCTTTTACTATACGGAGAATGGTCGCACTGCGCAGCTTTCTGAGTGCCTTTTAAAAGGAGATAGAAAACTCCGCCATTTTGAACCCTTATTACGTGTTGCCTACATCTTGGCGCAATATTTTTAATAGGTGCGTTTTAATCATCCGCTTCTGCTTCGGAATTGTCGGTTTTCTTGTTTTAATCTGACAGGTTAAAACGACTAAACCGACAATTCCGGAAGCAGAAGCGGATGATTAAAACGCACCTCTGGGCACCTATCCTCGACTGGTGCTTTAATCAATGCGAATGCGCATTTACTAAATGCGAATGCGTATTTGCTCAAAAGCGTGTTGTAGCTATTCTTGGTCGTTCGAATTTATATTGCGGGTGCGCATTTGACAGCGAGTGGGTTTTTGCTCTTCGCATTCAAAAGCGAAGGTCCAAAGAGCTTGCGAAGGTCTAATTGGATGCACGTTTTAATATTGCAGTGTTTTTGTTTTGTTTCATAAATTGATCGTGACCTATATAGGTATGATGGCAAATATAATTTTTTAAATATCTTATTACAAATTAGAAGAGGCAAATAATCATCCTCGAAGAGTTTATGATGATAGGAAAGTTCCTTTCAGACTTTCTGATCAAGCGTTTATCAGATTGTTTCGGTTAATTATATGTGTCTTTTTACTAATTTTTTCCATTTTAGAACGCTGCAAATTATGTATAGCCAAACAGTACATCAAAAAACAACCCAAAACCACGACTTCATGCTCAAAACCATTACTCATATTAATATTGCTTCTTTTTTGCGAATAATTTTCACAAAACAAGCGGTGTGAACTTTGAGTCCCCTTTCTAGCAGACAATTTAACATAAATAATCGTCGATCATACATGGTTGCCAAGTTGCCATTCGCATTTATAAAAGAGGATTACGAAGGCACAGATACGAAGGGTTAAGAATACGGTTTCTAATGCGTCTTCGCATTGAACCACTCGCATCTCTTCAAAGCGAGCGCTTAAACGCACTAGTCGAGGATAGCCCTGGGGGGCTATTTTCAAACTCGAGAGAATTCATTTCTCTCAAGAGAAATGTCATACGTCAACGTAAAACAGTATTTTTAGGGCTCTTAGGGCTAGTGTGAACTCACTGACTGTTTCTCTCGGTTTATTTAGAGATAATTAAAATTCTCCTAAGAATTTTAATCCCCGAGGCCTTTAAAAACAGCGTTTCCACATTGACATATGACATTTCTGATGCGAATCTTGAGAGAAATGAGTGCTCCACATACTTTGATTTTCTTTTACTATACGGAGAATGGTCGCACTGCGCAGCTTTCTGAGTGCCTTTTAAAAGGAGATAGAAAATTCCGCCATTTTGAACCCTTATTACGTGTTGCCTACATCTTGGCGCAATATTTTTATTAGGTGCATTTTAATCATCCACTTCTGCTTCGTAATTGTCGGTTTTCTTGTTTTAATTTGACAAGTTAAAACGATTAAACCGACAATTCCGGAAGCAGAAGCGGATGATTAAAACGCACCTGATATTTTGCTTGCGGCTGTCAGTGTCAGTGAATATTATTTTTTGAGTCACAGATTATTGCTAAAGAATCAGTTAGCTCACTAGGACCAGTTGAAAGTTTCAAAATAAGATCCACTCCAGGGATACAAATTTAGGATACGCAGAAGACTGCTGTTTTATTATAGGCGGTTGTTATATATTGTATTATCCGAGTTGCGCA